GGGGGCCGAGGCTGGGGAGGAAGGCGCAGAGGGGGCAGGGGCTGGGGGAGGAGGAGGAGGGGCTGGAGGGGGGAGAGGCTGGGGGAGGGGGCAAACCCCAGCGGCAGAGCCTGACAGTCCCCTTGCAGACAAAGGACTTGGCGGGAGCGGAGAACCCTGAACCGCCTTTGAAAGGCGCTGGGCGGCCCTTCCGCGGGCTGCGCGCTCCGGCCGCGCGGCCAAGTTTGTCAGCTCGACAGATGGGGACGCGGCAGCCGAGTCTTCAGAGGCTCGGGCTCGGGGCTCGCAGTTCGGCAGCCCGCTTGGCCGGCACGCGTGCCAGGCTCCTCGGCCCCACGGAGGACCCGCGTGTGTCAGGGGCCCTGAGGGCCTCCGCCCGCCTCCCCACCAGACCCTCCGCGGAGGCTCCTCGTCCCTCCCGGCTCCCCGAGATGGGGCGGGGCGGCGGGCGGGGCTCCCGGGCACGCCTTCCAGGCCGGGAGGCTGAGCGGGCCCTCTTTGTTCCTGCTGGGGCGAAGCACGGGGCTCAGCCCAGAAAGGGGGCGGGACAGCCGTGGGGCCGGCCCCTGGCTCTGCACCCAAAGTCCCCCCAGCCCAGAAAATCGGGGACCCGGAGGGCCTAGGGGCCTGGGGACACCCTTCCTGTGCCCAGAGCCAGTGCCCAGGCCTGGCACGGCCTGACGGGGGGGCGGGGGGACGAAGGACAGGAGTCTGACACCTGCTCCCTGAGACTCTGGGGTCGTTCAGCCCCCTCCCATCTTGGGGCTCCCCAAACGCCTCTGCGGGAGCTGGGCTCTCCCCTCAGCGGCTGAGCACGTGGCCAATGGCAGCAACAACAACAATAACGCCATCGCCGTCAGCCTCTCCAACCTCTCCACCCGCAGGACCGCCCCCCCCCCCCCATAGAGGCTCCTAGTCAGGAGCCACCCGATGAATGTGACGACATCGCCGACGGTGTCCAGGGCGCCTTTCAGTTCTGGGGCGGGAGTGTGCCGAGAACGGAGCCCTAGAGACGCACAGACCCCGAAGGTGCGCTCTGGCTCAGCGGGGCCCGCGACTCAGCGCGTTGTCCCCCGCGGCCTCCCCTCTCCACCCCCCCCCCCCCCAGCCCGTCCCCTTTGCTCCGAGGCCCGGAGGAGGCCTCGCCACGGAGAAGCGCGGACCAGGGGTGCCGGGCCCAGGTCCGCGCGGGAGCTGCCAGCCCGTGCGCAGGGAGTCGGGTGCGGTGAGGAGGGCCCGTCCGTCTTGCCAGAGGCTTCGGCAGCGAGGGGCTGGGTCGCCGGTCGCTATCCACCCCCAGCGCGCACACTCCGCCGGGCCGGCTGCAGTTTTCGGTGGAGCCGGGACCCTCGCGGGCGCGTGGAGAGCTGCGGGGCGAGGCGGGCAGTTTGCGCAGAGACGTGGAGCGGGGCGGCCGCGGGCGCTCTGTATGCACAGAGCCTGGGTGTCTGTGCGCCCTGCGCCGGGCCAGCCAGGGCCCAAGGCCCAGGAGCCCCTGGATTTGCCCTTTTCACTCAACAACAACAAGAGCAGAACTGGTGTCACCCGTGTGGCTCCCTCTCCTGTCCCTACAGAAGGCGCACGGCGGGTCCACACTGGGCGCTTCTCGTGCTGCGCTGCCGCCCGAGGACCCTCTCACCCGACCCTGCGGGCAGCGGCGGCGGAGGCTCCCGAGCAGCTCGGGAGCGCGGACCCGGCAGGCCCGGGGTGGCGTCTTTCCACCCCACTCCCAGCCCCGCGCCTGTCCCGCCGGCCACGGAGGGTGGTGGGCGCAGCCGGGCCTGGGTGGGTGCGGTTCGGCGGGGAAGCGCAGGGCCTTCCTGCAGACACGGGCTTTCCGCAGAGGAGCGCTTCGAACCCGCCTCCTGCGCGGGAGACAATCGGCGGGAGGGTTGGGCGGAGCGGGACTGTGTGCCGAGAGTCTCCTGCTGCGTCCCGGTCCTGGTCCATATCCCAGATCCCAGATCCCAGGTGGGAACCGCGGGGGCGGGGTGTAGCCGGGCTTCAGGGAGGAGCCCCGCCTTCCTGCAGGCCTCGCTCGGGTCTCCATCCCTCCTCGCGAGAGCGTGGGAGCGGCTGGCTGGGCGCAGGGCCTCTCCAGGAGTTAGAGCTTAGAGCGCGAGCTGTTGATTTTACAAATGTAGTAACAGAAGCGAAAGTAGCCTCAGCGTTCCGAGAGGGTCCGACGTCTCATTCAGTTACATCCCCTCCCGGAGAGAAAAAGGAAATAAAGAAAATTTCCCTTTACCACTGTAGACCTGGTATCTGCTTGCATGCCTCTGGGGACGGGGATCTCATTATCTTACAAAACCGTACCTTGCCTGTAATCGTGTTACGATTTGCAGATGAAAAATCAAAATGGTTGTTTAATGTTGTTATACTGTCCTTTTATTTAAAAGAGAGCCCAATAAGGGAATAGTTGTGCTGGTGGGCTTTTGTTTTTAATCTGGGAACCCAGAGCTGTGCAAAAGTGGGTGACACTGGGTATGGCGTCCTATTGTCCAAGACCCTGGGGCACTCCTGGTGCTCTGGGGCCTCCTCACTAAGTCCCTCTTTGCAAATCCAGGGAGCATCCGGCCCTGCCCCAGGCCCAGGGTCCTCGGGAAGCCGTCGGTGTGGAATGAACAGCCTGGAAGATTCCCTTTGGCAACATGATCCTCTGAGTAGTCTCTGAGTTTCTTTTACTGGGAGAAGAAAACTTTTTTTCCAGCCAAGAAAGTTTGGCAATGGAGCAACTGGCGCTCCAGACGCAAGCGTGGCTCCTGGAGGTAGGTCCCCGCTGCTCCCTGCTGGCCCAGGTGCCTCGTGAGCTCCGAAAGGCCAGTGCTTTCCCGAATATACTTGGGATGTTGTTTTTCTCATCCTGTACTTTTGGGGTAAAAGCAACAACAAAAGGTAAAAGAGGAGCGCCTCTGTTGGCTGAGTAGGAAGAATCCCTCCGGGGTGGGGGTGGGGGTGGGGGTGGGGGGGATTACCTGTTGCCTTCTGTAGGATTGTAAGTATTTATTCAATGGAATGGCTCCATGCTTTTGAACACTTCCGTCTGGTCAAGAGATGTGAACCTAAATTACTTTGATATTTTCTGTGCTCACATAGAAAATATCCAAAGTGTCTTCATCATTTTAAAAAGAGACACCAGCACCGGGCTGTGGGGAGAGGTCCGGAGTCGCCGGCCTCAGAAACACACTGAGGAAAACTAGTCATTCCACCTTGAACAGCCAATATTTTACAATAAATTGGGGTTATTTTTATTTAATGTAACTTTCAAGATTTTAAACACACAAAAATGCAGAGGGAATGTTCACAATTTTGATAACCACAGTTGGAGATAGAAACATTCAGAAACATTCATTTCTCATAAGATTATAAATATTTGATACTGGAACTGTAAAATGCACATTTTACAAACTAAAAAAAAAAAAAGAAAAACTTTGCTTCCTGCGAAAAAGGCATATCATTTCATTGCGTTTCCTAAGCAGCAGATGGTTATTCACAGAATGTTAAATTACAACTTTTTGATTTTATAGTTCCTTTTGCAAAAGGTTCACGCTACTATGTACAGAGTGAAAGTGTTGTCAACGTAAAATAAAGAGGTTTAAGGCAAAGAGAGAAAGTCACCCTCCGTCCTCAGGGCCCGCAAGGCTCCACCCAGGCTGCGGAACGTTAGGACGTGGTTCTTTTCTGTGCACTAAACAGAAGACAGTGTGGCGTTATATAGAAAGATAATGTGTTTGTTTATATATATATGTACTTGGTGAGGATATATGGAATATATTTAATTTACACTGTACCACACCTTCAAAAAATAAAATGTATATTTAAAAACAAAAGACAGTAAGCAGTAAGAAATCATTATTTACACGTTGTCCTTCCTCTGGATCCCTGAGGACTCAGAGAACCTTTAAAAGTCAAGGTAGCCATGTGTCCCAGAACTGGGGGCTCACATACAGCTGTCTGTGTGTGTACACACCTACATACATATGTACACACCTCGAACGCTCTCTGTAGCAGAAGTGACCACTTACAAAAAAAGGAAGGGCACAAAACAGAAAAAAAAAAAAAAGCAAGGAGAGGCCACCTCTGCCAGGAGCCTCCTACCTGCCTGGCGGTGACGGACCTGGACCTCCGCCCCTTCTGGGGCCGGACAGGCTTCTGAGGGGCCGGAGGAGCAGCAGAGAGGCCTGAGCCTGGGCTGCAGGGAGGAGGGTCACCCCTCTGCTCGAAGCCCTGGCATTGAGGCCGCAGAGTTGGCGCTAGCTGTGGGCGGAGGGACAGGGGACAGCAACACAAATACAGATGCAGACTAGCACTCACGGCCTGGAGCGGGAGGGGGGGCGGGGGAGAGAAGGCCAGAGGAGGGATGGAGCGGCCTGTGATGAGGCTGAGAACCACTGTGGGCCCGCTGCCTAGCACAGGCCCTGGCAATAGGCACAGCCACTCTCCCCGAGAGGGCCCTGCTCCTCCAAGGACCCTGCAGCCCCATCCCCACCAGGGCCCTGCCAGGCCGGGCTGCGGCAGAGCGGCCCCTCCTGTTGCCCATGGCACGACCATACAAACAAAGTGGCAGAACTCATAGGCCAAGTAGGAGCTATTTATTCGGTTCACAGTTGTGTGAAATGCAGCAATAAAAATCTTTGGACTTCAGCAAGTTGTTTTAATTTTTCTTCTTTTGAAATTAAAAAAGCGTCCCATGTCCCATATGGAACTTAGGGGATTAAAAAGATGAAACCCTAAGCAGCCCCCTTTCAAAAAAAAATAAAATCATAAAATTAGCATAATCTCATAAACACACAAAAATAAAAAAAATATTTTATAGTCAGATATTTTGGATTTTATATCACCTGTAAATTATATACACATAGAATATTGCAGAACCATAGCTAACACACGATCTTTTCACTAGGAATGCTGGTATAATTTTTGTACACTTGCCCTTTTTGATAACTTTAAATTATTGCATTGTTTTGCGCGCACAGAGACACACAGGGAGAAGACGGGGCCTACTCGCTGTCGGACTTGCCCTCCTTGGCCGCGGTGGAGTGGTTGTACAGGCCCTGCGCCATCAGGTGCACCGCCAGCGTGTTCTTGTTGCCCGTGGCCTTCTTGATCTTGGCGCGCTTGTTCTGGAACCAGATCTTGATCTGCGACTCATTGAGGCCCAGCTCCTGGGCTAGGCTCTGGCGCCGCTGCTCAGTCAGGTACCTGTTGGTCTGGAACTCGGCCTTGAGCCTCTGCAGCTGCTCCGCGGTGAAGGCTGTGCGTGGCCGCTTGTCCTCTTTGTTGGGGTTCTTCTTCTTTGGTTTTCGAGACCTGGGGCCTGGGGAAGTGTGGAGAGAGAGTGCTGGTCAGGGGCTGCAGACCTGCCTGCTGGCTCAGAGGCAGGTCACTCCACCAGTGCTGGGGGGGACGCAGGCTGCGGAGGGAGGCGACCAAGGTCTCTGGGCTGGATTTAGGGGGACTGAGCGTGGGCTGGCAACCACCATCAGGTCCCAACCCCCAGAAAGAAGGCTATGGGCTAGTGAAGCCTAGTGAGGGTGGAGTGGGGCGCAGGGCAGACTGCATGGAGAAGTCACCAGATAAAAGGGCAAGTTCTGAAGGAAAGCAGCCCCTGCAATGCCTGGCCTCGCCTTCCTAGCCCTTCCTGAGGCTCTGTCCAGGAGTTGACGGGTAGGCATACGTGCTGGGCTAGAGACAGGGGAAAGAATGGGGGGTGCAGAGTAGCAGGAGAAGCTCTGGGGGCTGTGGAGGGGCTCCCACAGGAACCTCACAGGGGACACCCACAGGGTGCCGAGGGCTGTGGGTCCTGAGAACGGGGCGGCAGGGGCCGATGTCTGCCTCCACCCCACCCCCCACTGGCCCTGTGGGCCCAAGTTTATTGTTCCTTTAAGAACAGGAGCACAAGGGTCCTCCGGGTGGAAAAGCAGCCCTGCCAATCCAAGCTCCCCCTGCACCCCCACCAAGTCTCCGTGGTCCCTAGCACAGGAGGGAGGGCCTGGGAGCTGACCCCAGCTGCCTGCCTCCCCTGCCGGAGCCCCCAATGAAGCCTACTCAGGCTAGGACCTTCCCCTCACTTGTGAAGTGGGGTAAGGCTCCCAGGACCCCGCCATCTGCAAAGGCCGAGCAATGCAGAGGGAAGCATTTCCTTTTTGTTGGTCAAGCTCACTCCGCCCGGAGGGTGTGTGAGAGATGTGGAGGCTGCTGGGGGTGCGGGGTTGCACCCCTGGGTCTCCATCTGTGAAGTGAGTGAATCAGCTTTGGGGCGCTCCCCACCTTAATGTCTACAAAGGTGCCTGTGGCCGGAGACTAGACCTTGGGCAGCCAAAACCCCAGGTCCCCACCCAGTTCCCAGCCCATCCTGCAGGCTGCACCCCCACCCACCGGGACCTGGGGGTGGGGGTCCACAGCTCCAGGGCTGTGCTGAGCCCAGGGGTGGGGATGGTCTGGGGACCCAGTGGGTGTGGAGGCTGACCCAGCCAAGCTCTCTCTCTGGGGAGGTAGACTCCCACAGAGGGGCCGTGGGCACCAGAGAGGGGTGGCCTGAGGCTGTAGGGCTCAAACTCCCGGCCTTTTCGATGATAAAACACTCACACTCCCGCTCTCGCCCCAGTCGCTATCCACGCACAGTGGAGGGCACCAGCACCAAAGCCCAGGCCTGGCCTTGATCCCCACGGTGCAGATTGGAGCAGCCGGCTGGCTCTGGCCTCAGGAAGGGGCAGGGGTGGCTCCGTGAGGCCGACAGGACCAGGCGCCTGCACCTGCCTCTGGTCTAGGAGCCAGTTCAGTCTCCACTCTCCCCCTCGCCCCGGAAGCAGCACACTTACCCCCCAAACTCCTCTGCTGCTCGGGTTCCTGCAGACACAGAACAGCCCCCCCCCCCCATACACACTAGTTGGAAAGAAAATCTCTCCAAAAGCAGAATTTTTAGTTCCCTTTCTTCCTGGATTTTCTTTCAAAACGAAACACGTAGGAGTCTTGGAAACAGAACCAAACCTCAGCAAGAAAACTCTGCCTCACTCTTTCCTGAAACCCCAGGAACACGAACGTGATCTCACAGGGTTTGTTGTTTTAAGTATGGGAAGACCCGATACCAGGCTCCTTGGGGCTGGGTTTGGCGGGCTGCTCCTGGGCGCACAAAGCCAGCGAGGCTGAGGCTCCTCGCAGCCCCATTGTGAGCCACTATGTTAATTAAATATTAACAAAGGAGGGAGGCGAGAACAATGGAGCAAATTTCAGATCTAACTGGAGAAATTTGGGTTTCATGGGAGAGAGACATACAGTCTGCAGCAAGGCAGCCAGGGGTGCCGGGGTTGGGCTGCAGGGCACACAATCTCTGCGAACACCGGAGGGTTTGGGGCAGGGGGTCCGTTACCAGCTGGGCACAGACCCGCACTCAGTGCAGTTGGGGTTTGCACGAGGACTTGGCCTTGGCTTTTTAAAACCCAGACCTGTGAGAGCGCCTCCAGCACCTACACAGACCTCTCTGCAACCTGCCCCTTCCCTGCCGGGAAGCCTCCGGGAGGAGTTCCCTTCTCTGGGGGGTACCGCAGGTCCCCCTCCTCCCAGCTATGTGCGAGGTGGGTGCTGCACTCCCCCGAGGCGTGCAAATAACACTGGGATGGGAGCAAAGGGCGCCTGTTTCCGCCATGCCCTCTCCCGCTCCCCGCTCCGTCGGCGGCCCCTGCGAGGGGCCGAGGAAAGAGCTGCATCTGGGGTTTCTGGGTCGCAGGATGAATCTAGGTCTGGGGTGAGCTACTCGTGGGTCCTGGGTCTACTCTAGACTGAGTTGAAAGGATCGGAGAAGGGGTTGAGCGGCGAGCTTCCGGCCGGCTCCCAGCCAGCCCCGTTTCCCACCAAATAAACTCCAGCCAGGGGCTGGGGGGCTGGTGGGGGGGGGGCTGGGAACTGCGCGGAGAGGCCCCGAAAGGCAAGAGGGAGCCCAGGTCCTGTCGCTCCTGCCGTTCTAAGAAGTCTGTACACCTCGGCGAACGGATCCTGCGCCCTCCCTCCGGGCCGCGGCCTGGGCCAGCAGCAGCCACACAAAATGTCGCTGTGTGCGTCTTTGTGTACTTGTGGGGAGGAGGTCCTGGCGTCTTCTTCCCCCGGTAAATTCCCGCGCCAGCGCCGGCCTAGCCCCGCAGCTGCCCCAGCTGCCGCGGCGGGGTCCCCCGGGCTCACCTGAAGAAGGCCGGTCCGAGTAGCGCGTGCAGTAGACCCACGCGGGCCAGAGCATGGGCTGCGCGCCCAGTGTGGCGCTGGCCTGCGAGCTGTCCGAGTCTGAGCTCAAGGACAGGTCGCCGCCTCCCAAGCCGCGGGCCTTGAGCGCCCCGTCCAGGGGGCCGCTGGGGTCGCTGCCTTTCTTGGCGTCGCTGTGCAGCGAGAGAGCCTTGGAGCCTCCTTCGCCTTCGCCCGGAGACTCGCCCCCGCCGCCTGGCAGCGGCCCGCCGGCACCCGGCGCACAGGGCGCTCTCGGCCGGGGCTCCCGGACAGACCCCAGGAGCTGATCGGCGCCACCCGCGCCACCGCCTCTATCCGCCCCGCCCGCCCCGCCTTCGCCGCTGCCTCCGGCGCCTCTTCCTCCGCCCGCGCCGGCACAGCACGTCCCCGCGTCCTTTCTCCGGCCGAACTCGGGCCGCAGGATGTTGTCGATGAAGAAGTTGGTGATGCGGTGAGGGTGCTGGTGGTTGCCCGGCACCTGCAGGACCGCTGGCAGCACCAGTGCCCGACGGCGTCCGGTGTCCGCATCGCCGGGGCTGCTGCCGCCACCGCCTCCCGAGCCGCCACTGGGGCTGGATTCTGGCTGCCACGGCCCCTCCGCCGCCGCTGCGTCGCTGGGTTTGGCGTCATTCTCCTCCATGCTGTTCACGACAAATCCCAAATCTTTTCTCCGGGGACCCCTCCAATCAGCCCTCGGCCCGCCGGCGGCGCACAAGGGGACCCCCGCAGCCGGCCCGCGCCTCTACCCCGCCGAGTCTTCCACGGGCGTGTGCAGGGGCCGCGGCCAGGGCCAGGGTCCGAAAGCGCCGGCCGCGCTCGGAGCGGAGCCGTTCCAATCCACGAGTTGAGTTCGAAAATACCGGGAGTTGCCCCGCGCCCAAAGCCCGGGGATTCAAGAGTCCGGAGCGCGCGCGGGCGCTGGGCAGTCACAACGATCCTGCAGGGACGCGGGGCGCCTCCGGGCTCCGCTCCGCGTGCGGCTGCCTCTGGCTCCGGCGCTGCCGGCGCTGCCGCCGCGGCCGCCCGGAGCTGGAGCTGCGCGCATGCAGGCAGCGCGCTCCTCGGCCCTTACGCCCGCCCGGGCCTGCCCCGGCCGCCGCCGCCTCCCGGCCGCCCTCGCCCGCGCGCCCGGGCCGGCCCTCGAGGGTGCGGGGCGCCGGCGGTCAGCACGTCCGCCGCTGCCAACACGCACATGGAGGCCCGCGGGCCCGCGCTGCGCTCGGCCGCCGCCCCGCTGCGGGCCCGGGCGCCCCACCTGCGTGCGGCCGCGCCCCCGCCGAGCCCCGCCGAGCCCCGCGGCCCGAGCCGCATGGGTGAGAAGTGGAGGCTGGGCCGGGCCGGGCTGGGCTGCCCGCGCTCCCTCGCCGTCTGCGCGCCCTCGCGGCCAAGACCTCCGCGCCGGCTCGGAAATTTCCAGGCCACTTAGCGCAACCTGAGACACTTTCACTCTGGATTTTGTTCTTATTTTTAACAGAGCCCCCTCGAGTGACGTCGCGGGCCGGTCTCATGGACACGTGCCTCGGGCCAATGGCCGCAGCGTCTCGCGCCCACGTGACGCGCCAACAGCGGCTCGGTGACAGGAGGCTCCCGCCGCCCCGCCGCCGCCGCCCCTCCCTCCCTTAAAGCAGCCGCGTCCTCTGGCTCCGGGTGCGGGACCCCCGAATCCGCGAGACCAGGTCAGCGTCCCTGCGCTCCATCGCGCTTTCCCCGTCGCTGGGACCGAAGGAACCCCCGCGGTGGCATTCTCTGGTCACCCTGGTTAGCGTCCGCACACACGGTCTGGGAGATTGCAATTTTTAACATTTCCATATTGTTTACCGTGGGGAAAAATCCCACAATTCCTTGCACAAAAATGCATAACTCATATTAAATAGGCTGCCGAGATACAAAGGGACTTTTGTAGCCCGTGTTCCTCGCTATGGAGAGGGAAGTTGTCACTTACGTTTGACTTTGGTGACCGGGCAGATTTCTGTGTTGAACGCAGAGCTGGCGCACAGGACCCTCCTCCTGCAGACACTTATTGTAAGTGTGCGTGTGTGTGCGTGTGCGTGTGCAGAGCGGTGCGTGCAGAAGGCAAGGTCCCCTGGGGACACCCATCCTCAGGAAACGGGCAGGTGGACCCGGAGGAGCGCGGGAGCAGATTTCGGGCTCCGCGGGAGGAGAAATAAAGGCGCATGGGGGTCAGAACTGAGTCGTCGGTTTGGAAATTCCCATCCAACCACACGCCCTGCCCCCAGGCCTTCCACCTCGTTTTCTTAGTCTTGAATTCCTTAAACAGGTTTCGTAGAGAGCGGGGCCCATCCGAAGGGGGATTAGGAATTACTTGGTGGGGGATTTGTTTTCCCCTCCCCTCCGTCCTCTGTCCCTTTGGACACTTCCTTTCCAGCTGCTGTCAGGTGTCCAAATGGAACTTCTATTTCCTCTTCTCTTCCCTCCTCCCTCAGGGTCCTGCCAGGAAGCTCCTCTCTCCTGGCCCCCAACAGCCTTTGTTACCCCAGGAGTACCTGTCCATCATTTAAAATGCATTTTTATGGAAATTTGAAAACTTCGAAGAAAACACCCAAAAGGGCAATTCTGAGGGTGCAGGAGCATTGGCACAATAAAAGTGCCCTTGGTGGAAAGGGGGCTGGAGAGGGGGGAGGGGAAAGGGGAGAGGAGGTGGAGTCAGGTGCTCCGGGACTGGCCTGAGGAGGGGCAGAGGCAGCAGCCAAACAGCGGAGGCCCATGCTAGTGCGGAGCAGGCTCTGGGTCAGGGGCTGTCTGCCCAGTGCTGCCAGGCCAGGAGAGGGACAGGTCTGCAAGCAGCCATCCAGGCAGAGTGATGGCCAGGCCTCCCCTTCCCCAGCCCAGCCAAGCTCTGCTCCTGTGCCCCCCAGGTCCTGTCCTTGCTCACCCACTGACCCACTGCAGGCTCCAGGTGCAGCAGCTGCCACACACACTGCTCCCAGGGGAACTGACCCAAGGAGGAGGGGCAAGGAGGGTGGAAGGAGGACCTGGGCTGGCCACCAAAGGGGTGGAGGCATGTAGGTGCTGGGTGTGGGTAGGCTCTGGAGACAGATGGGGAGTCCCTCCTGTGAGATTCAAGTAGGGGGGGAAGCCACTTCTCACTTGGGGTGACTCACAAATCATCCTCGCCACACGCCCCCCCCCCCTTTGGAAGGGTTATCACCAAATTACCTGGCTAAACACACAGCTGCCAGGGACACTGCCTGGGCCTCAAAAAATGACATCCCACAGTCTGCTGGCCCCTAGGAAAACGGGGCTGCTGGGGCTTGTGGGAACACCCTGTTGACAGGTGGTTAGGGTCTGGGGGAAATTTCCTACAGCTCTGGGAGCATTCAGTCGCTTTGGGTCTCCTGAAGGCAGGGGGTGTGAAGGGACAGCCCAGGCCCTCTGATTCCTGCAAAGCGGTCCAGGCTCATTTCTCAGTCGTCCCCTGAGAACCAATTAGGCCGCCTCCTGAGAAAGATTTTCCTTTCTTGGGCACTGTTGCTTCTGAGTGCCTCGGCATTAAATGAGCCCAAGGTGGGGACCTCCTGCTGTGTTCCTTCCTGTGACCCAGACCCCAGCTCACCGAGCGAGGCACTCTCCTGGCAAACCTGGACTTGGGGGTCTTCAGGCTGCACAGGAGGGGCACTCCTGAGTTACTGGCCTGGGGGGGCACGGGTGGTGCAGGAGGAGCAGAGAAAGGAGTAAGGAAAGCAATAATTGGGGGCGGGATCTCAGGCTTCCCAGAGCCCCCTCAAACATTAAAAGTCAGCCTTGAGAGTGGGCACCATCCAACAGGCAGTGGGGAGGCTGTGGGATTTGGGCCAAAGCCGCACAAAGTTAGTTTGCTCAGGGGCAGAGAGGATCGTGTCTTACATAGAAATCTCAAGCTGTTTCCAGAAGCTTCTAAAACGTGCTGGAGGCTCAATGTGGCCTCTTGCCGGATCTGGGACACCGCCCTGGCTGTGAGTGCTTTTCTGGGGACACGGGTGGGCGGCGGGGGGGGGGGGGGGAGCCTGCCTTTCCAAGTCTCTGCTCCTGGACCTGCAATGCAGCAGGTCCCCTCAGTCCTGGGCCCAGCCGGCCTGCGCCCCTCTCTCCAACCCAGACCCGCTGAGGCCCTCAGGGTCAGTCTCTGTGCAACCAGGCAGGCCACCTCTGGACCGTGTGTCTCCCCAAGCAAACCCAGCTGGGGAACCCCAGCCCTTCTCCTCTGGCAGGAGGGGGTCGGCTTCCTGAGGACAGCTCTGCTTCCTTCCAGGGGTCTGCACGGACCGGGGTAGGGATGGGGGGTGGCTATCTGAGCCAGAAAGAGGCCTCTAGACAGGAGGATTTATAACACTGACGCCAGTGGTGCCACAAATAACGTCTGGCACCTGAGGGTGGCAGGGGTTCCTGGAGACTCGGGTGCCTGGCTGCAGAACCAGGCTCCCTCCCTGCTTTTTCTTAAAACTGGGCCAGAGGACGGTGACTTTTGCAGAGGCTCTGCTGCCCCTCACCTCCCACACTCCTCTAGATGGGCGAGGGACACTGGGGGGAGCCACTGCCAGACATGGGTTCGCCCTGGGGACATTGGCACTGGGTTGGTAGACAAGCCCCACAGAGAGTGGCACCTGACCTCAACACAACCAGGAGCAGGGCCCTGAGCTGGAGCAAGAGCCACCTCGGTCCTTGCAAAGCGAAGCGCTGCTCCCCAGTCCTCAGACAAAGGCCGGAAGAGGGCATGGGCGGTGGGAGTGAGCTCTCCTGCAGCCAGGAGGGCCAGGGTTGGGGACACTGGCCTTGGGGGGGGGGGGACTGCTAGGAGAAACCCAGGAAGGGAGGGGTAAAGGCAGCAGCGGTGCCTGGAAAGGGGGTGGGCACCTGCCCTTGTCCTCAGGACACCACCTGTCCTGCCGCAGGCCCGCAGGCCGCCGGGGCCCAGCCAGAGGCACCCTGCGCCCGCAGCCACAGGGAACTGGGCAGCCGGAGCTCGTGCTGCCTGCCCAAGGAGGGCGGTGGGCATTGGCCTTGCTGGTCTGGGCCCTGCCCCAAGGGCTGGAGCAGAAGTGGCTTGTGCTCAGCCACAGCCCCCTCGGTGCTGGGGTCACATAGGAGGTGAGGCCACCACGGGAGACACGCTCCTGCCCAGGCCGCAGGGAAAAGACCTCCTTTTGACGCTCAGCCCCAGTGCTGGCTGGGCAGGCCGGGAGCTGCACACAGGGCGGCAGGTCTCCAGAGCCCGAGACTTCCATGCAGAACCTCCTAGAACCTATTTCTCCTGAAAACAGAGCTTCTGAGGACAGTGAGGAAGGCTCTCCAGCTCACTCCGGTCTGGCCCCGCACCGCCCTCCCTGGATTGCTCCGGGGCTGGGGACTCCTACCTTAGACTCCCTGCCTGTCCTTGGGAATCATGTGTCCTGGGAACCCCTTTCCCGTGTCCTCACACTGTATCACTGCTGTCCGCAATCCCAGGAAAAGCTGGCTCCCTCTGGAAGCGGGCCCCTGCCCGGGAGGTCGGCCATGGCATCGTCTGGGAGTCATACAGATGCTCCCTCACCTGACACCTCTCCCCAAAGGGAAATGTCCCCTCAGAAAGGCAGGGACCCAGAAGAAAACAGTCTAAACCAGCGGTTCTCAACCCTCTGGCCCTTTAAATTCAGTTCCTCATGT